CATGATTTTTCTGGCTGGGGCACGCGATCTTATTCAGAGGTGTTTCATCGACGTCCATTTAGCACGGCAAGTACAATGAAGAGACAGTGCATATTTCTGCGACCATCTCCCCGTCAGTACATGGGCCCAAGATCGAGCACTCACAGACACAGGAAGCTCGGCCACACCAATCGATCGAGACAGGCACATGGCATGATGGGCACGAGGTGAAAGACGCAACGAGTCTCTGCAGCGAGCGACTGACGAGCTGAGGGATGGGTACGAGCGGGAAGACGTGGGTGGTGGATGGAGTTGCTTGCGGCAGGCCATGGCAGGCGTGCTTGAGGAGGTCTTCCCGAAAGAACCGAAGCGATGCCACTATTCTATCCAGCTCCATGGCCAGAGGATGAGAGTACTGGAAGAGCGTCTTGTCCTACGGAGTGAGCTGGGCCCTGGAGAGAGCATTGCGAGAAGCTGAGCGAGGTCGAGGGTTCTATACAGCAGATCGGCGAGGAGATGGGGAACCTGGGGAGGTTGCAGAGTGCTGCTCGAGACGGGGATCTGCCGGAAGAGCGCAGTTTGCGCGTGCTGTTGTCGGGTAGCGGACGTGGAGCCGAGAAGAGGAATTATTTCAGCGCCAGGGCCACCGTGCACGAGGAAGATCGGAAGTCTGGTATGCCGCCAACTGAAGGCGGATTGGGTTGCGCGAGGATCAGCGATTGGCAGCGGCATTTGCGAGGACGACGCAGATATATCACTGCGAACCGATGGTGCCAGAGGAAGAAGCTGGACGACGTGCCGTGAGAGATCGTGCACAGCTTGGCAGATCTGCGCTGCGATCACCAGAGAGGCGAGCGTATCCACCGTGGGGGCTACCCGTCGAGTTCTCGGCCATATGCCTCCACCCCCCACGAAGCGACAGGCCCGTAGGTGCCGGGGTCGGGGCCGACGCGGGGCCGGGCTCGCCCGGGGCGTTCGAGGAGGCGCCTATGGAGTTTCCGTGCCGCGTGAGGCTCAGGGGCGCGCCGCCCCTCGGTTTCGCGAGGTCGAGCGCGCGCGCGGCGGGCGAGGGGGGCGACCGGGTGGGGGTCGCGGGGCAGAGGGTCTTGCGTGCGTTCGACAGTGCGTCGATGGGAATCCGCGCAGGCGTGGCGAAGAGACGGGCGGAGAGGGCAATGAGTATACCAGAGTGGGCGCAAGGTCTACCGCGCCGAAATTGAGAGGCGGCCGTCGCCGCAGCCGAGCGCGCAAGATGGAGGAGGGACGAGTGGCATATCGACGGCGACTTCGCATTGCGAAGGGGTGCTTGCTATTGGATGTGCAACGCGGTCTTGGCCGCGGGCTCGTGGCTGCCGGTGTGACGACGAGTCAGGTGGGAGGTGGCGCGAGATGATGTGGCGCGAATCCGCGTTGTGCACCGACGTGGGAGGGGGGGGGCCTTCCTTTCTGACCGAAGGTGGGCAGCCGCGTGGGTGCGCGCCGGGGCCGCGGGACTTCGTGGCCTGCTGCGACCTGGGCGCGCGCGTGACAGAATGCCCGGGGAGCGATGGCGCATGACAGAATGCCCTGTGACAAATAGGATCTGCGACTTCTCGGTGGCGACCTTCGTGGGCGATGCGACGAAGGTGCGCGCGCCCCCGTGCGCGCCATCCGTTCGCCGCGCCGAGGAACGAGTCGCCCTGCGAGGTGAACGGCTCGCTCGAGACACGCGAGGTAGCGGGCGTTTGTTGAAATCAGCTAAGGAGAGTGCCCTGGTACAGTTGTGTGTGTGTGTGTGTGTGTGTGTGTGTGTGTGTGTGTGTGTTGTGTGTGTGTGTGTGTGTGTGTGTGTGTGTGTGTGTGTTTCGCGCGTGTGTGTGTGTGTGTGTGTGTGTGTTGGGAGGGGAGGGGGTGGGTGGGGGGTGGGTGGGGGGGCGCGGCCGTGGGGCGGCGCACCTTTTCGTCGTCTTCTAGTTTGCTTGCGCACCCGACCCAGTTGATGCGAGTGTTGGGCGTATTTGAGTGCAGATGGCTTTGTTGGGGCCGAGGTGAAGCAGTGTGCCCTCGGTGTCTCTTTGGGCCCATGCATGCGCGCGAGTGGCGCGCGTGCAAGTCTCGTCTCGCACGTGGTAGGCGCACGCGGGCTTCGATCGTCGGTGCCCCCCGCAGCCAGTGCAAACGCGTGCCCTTGATGTCGCAGAGCCTTCAGAATCCGCGGGCTCGCTTGCTGGCGCGCCTGCCAGGCTTTGGAGAGAAGTGGTGCGTGCGAGATAGACCGTGCCAAATGGCCCCATGAAGTGATCGATCCTGCGCCGTGTGCCTTGCGTTGTCCGTTCTGTGACGTCGTGGCTCAACGTCGCCGACAGTCCTGCAGTCGCGTCATCTCGCGCATGCCTGATCCTCTGTATTTTGATTTTGGCCACATTCCCGCAGCGTTCAATGCAGGGGCTGCCGGCGTCAGCGGAGGACAGACAGCCCGGGCCACAGAGACCGAGGGTTGGAGCTGGGTCGAGCGGCAATGGGGAACCAGGCAGCGTAAGAGAATAACTTCGAGCTGTGCAGATGCTGACTCTGTACCTTGATTCCAGGTCCGCGAAATCGGAGGGGCGCTGTGCGATGCTGGGCTCATCGGCAAGAATGCGACGATCCCGTCGGCGATGGTGGAAGCAGATCAGACGTGCAACGCGGAGGTGAGCGGGCAGAAGGAAGGTCGCGGACTGGGAGCCCCCTTCCCGCGCTTAGCCGCGGCGATGCTCGAGTCGGCAGTGCAGCTCGAGCTGGGCCCCATGCGCAAAGCTATTCTCCAGGACTCCTGCTACGAGCGTTTGAAGGGAAAGTCGTTCATGAGCGAGATCTTCGGCGCGTGCGAGGCGAAGGTGACGGTGCAGGGAAGTCGAAGGCCAGCGGCAAGACGGTCATGCAGATATCTCTGAAGCGGTGCGCGATGGTGCCCAAATCTGATGGGGGCGGCTACTGGTCGTCGATCGAGGTGAGGGCGGCGCTCGTCGCCTCGCTGACGAAGCAGGGTTCGGAGTTCCAGGTGGGGCCCGCATCGCGCGCGGACCTCGCGCGCGTAGTCCAGAACCGCGTCGGGTAGTGCATGTGAGTGAGAGCAGGAGTGGAGGCAGTGAGAGTAGTCTCCCCGCCAGCTTTTCCTCGCGCCCTCTTCCTGAAGTAGACGAAGAGTTGCGTCGCAGAGTTGAGGGCTGAGCGAATTCGGGGAGCGTTCGAGCTGCACAGTTGTTCGTTCGCATGCGCCCACCCACTCGCGTGCCACCAAATGAGGGGAATGATGGGGGACCTCCGGCGTGAGAAGCCCCGCGCGTGGGGGCATATTTGCCCGAGGAGGGCGGTCTTGCCTTGTTCGCGGCCGCAGTAACCAGGTCATGAAATATGTGACTTTACCCCGGGCCTAGAGGTAGAGGGGAATTTCTGTAGCAGCAGTGAACAGAGGAAGACGGGCCCCGAAGGTATATTCCATATTCCAGATTCCTCGGAGCTTTCCTCCTCGGGCTGCCAGACCTCCTCCGCATCCTCCTCCTGCTTCTTGTCTTCCTCTGGGCTGCCGAGTTCTTTAGCCCGGCATCCCCCCGGCTGCGGAGGCGTTGACCCCACATCCGAGGATAGCCGTGCCATATCTTGTCTTCCGCCTCCTCCTTTTCCTCCTCTTGCTCCTGTTGTTTATCCTCCTCCTCGCCCTCCTCCTCCTCCTCCTCCTGCTCCTCCTCCTCCTCCTCCTCCTCCTCCTCCTCCTCGTCCTCCTCCTCATCGTCTCGCTCCCTGATCCTTTTCCTTCTCCTCCTCCTCCGCCTCCTCCTCCTGCCCTCCTCCTCTCCCTCCCTCACTGATCCTCCTCCTCCTCCTGCTCCTCCTCCTCCTCTTCCTCCTTCTCCTGCTCCTCCTCTTCCTCCTTGATCCTTCTCCTCCTCCTCGTCCTCCTCCACCTTGCGGCTCCAGCCGCACGTAGCGCCCTTTTCCTTCTCGGGACCCCGATCGGGCGCTTCGCGTTGGCTTCGCCTCTGGCCAGCGAGCGCGGGCCCCGCCAGGAGACCGCTAGCTCCGGCGCGGAGCGGCGGAGCTCTCGGGGCCAAGACGCGCCCTTTCGGGGCCGCCCTTCCTCTTGGGATTCTCTTGGGGCCTTCTGTTTCCCTCCCCAGAGCCCTGGGATGGAGCACAGTGAGCGGCCTGAACAAGGAACACTTACTTTTTAAAAGGGGCCCGGTCGTTCCTCAGGCTTGCGTGCGTTATTTATCGTTCCTTATGCGTTATTTCTTCTTGATGTTCCTTATGCGTTAGTCCTTGGAACAAAAGGGGCTTCGTTCCTTGTTTATCGTTCCTTCGGTCAGGCCGATGACTGTAGTGGGAGCGGCAAGCCTCTCCCCGAATGGGGGCCGCCCCCTCGGGGACGCGTGCCAGCGCCTCGGCTCGGCCCCGTGTCCGGCGGGAGTCGCGGGCCCTCGAGGTGTGCGACCAGTTGCCAAGCCTTGCCTCTGCGGGTCCACTCGGCGCTGGGGTTTGCATCGGACCCCCCCCGCCCGCCACCAGGGTTAATTAGGCATGTCCCTCTACAGGAGGAATCTTCCAACATAGTTAAGAAATAGTCTGGGACGATTTTTCTGTTTTTTCTTTGAATCAGTTTGGATATTTTTCACGTATCATTGATTTTTCATCCAGAACCCGCCTGTAGGGGGACATGCCCGACCTAACACCAGGGCTGCACTTGGAGAACAAAAAGCGGCATAAGCATATTTTCTCGGAGGTCCGCGCCGATCTCTTGGATCGCCGTTGGGCTCCCCTGGCGGCGGCTCCGGCGCCGATCCAAGAAATCCGCGCGGACCTCGGAGAAATTATGTCTATGCCGTGTTTTGTTCTTCTAAGTTCGCACCTGGCTGCGCACATCCTTCGAATTCTAAGCCCCAGCCGGCGTTTCAGAAGTCTGGCGTGGCTGCTTACGAAGATCGCTGGTTCTGCCAGGAGTGCGCTGGCTCTGGCACGGAGCGGCGGAGCCAGCGTTCTCCTGAATCCGGTGGTCGGCAGCTTTCATGGCAGCGAGCTCCTTCGGTGTAGCCGTCGCGCCGGTGCGGCAAGATGGGCGCACGTTGGCGCAGGTCGCGGATGGCCACGGCCGTGAAGCGGAGCACCGCGGCGAGCTCGTGCCGGCGCTTGGAAAGCAGCAGCCATTTCAGGTGGGCGGCTGTGGACGGGCCCGCGCGTCGCTGCATTTGTTGATGCACCTCCGCCCTGGCGAGTGTTGGCCCACTTCCGTCGCAACGAATGAGCGGAGGTGCCGACTCAGGTTCGTCACGTCTGGGGCGGGGCCCGCAGCCCTCGTTCTCTGTCTCCGCCCCTCTGAGCGCAGCCGTCGTCGAAAAGTTGCCCTGGGCGCAGACGGGCATCTCCTTTTGGAGCTCTCTTTTGGGCTCCTCTCTCTCTCTCTCTCTCCCTTCCCCTGCCGTCGCCTGCCCTCGCCTCTCCTCGCCGCTCCTCTCTCCGCTCCAGTCGTCTCCTTTCCCTGCCCTCTCATCTTCTCTTAAGTCGGGTACGTCCGTCTACAGGAGGAAAATTCAAAAATAGAAAACCTGCTCTGGGGACGATGTTTCGAATATTTTTGAGCCATTTTTGAGTTTTTTTGTTTTTTGTTTTTTATTCTTCGTCGAAAATCCCCCTGTAGGAGGACATGCCCGACCTAATCTTCTCTCCTCTCGTCCCGTCTTCGCTCCTCTCTTCTCTTCTCCTCTTCCCCTGCCCTTACTTCCCCTCGCCCCCTCCTCCTCCGCTGTCTTCTCATTCATTCTTCGCTTCTCGAGCCTCCCTGCCCCTCCTGTGCTTCCCCTCGCTCATCTTCATCTCGCTCTCTCGTTCCCTCTCGGCTGCTCCGCTCCTCATCGTTCCTCCTCTCCTCTCCTCTCTCTTCCCTTCTCTGTGTCCCCCTCCTCGCTACCCAATCCCCTTTGCGCGTGCCAGTGGGCCTGCTCACGGGCACGTTCATTGTCCTCCTCAACTACGCCGTGCACTGGGAGGAGGACGTCTTCAGGAGCCTGCCTGATCCGCTGCCAAGGCTCTACGCGCGACCCAGATGCTCTCATGCCTGCTCGCTTCTCCAGTACGCGATCAGGGGGCTGGCCGCCTTGTCGTCATGCATGTTAGAGGGGCGGCCAGGGCATATGCAAGATGTGGACAACCACATGTTCTTCATGATGATGTCGGAGGACCGGATAATGGTTAAGTGATGGATTTGGTTACGTTTATGAGGTTGACGATTAGCTAACTGGTGATTATGATGTTGTTAATGATGATGCAGATGATGATACTGCTGGCGATGATGTTGCTGATGACGACGACGATGGCGATGACGATGACGATGAGGATGATGATGATGCTGATGATGATGATGATGCTGAGGATGATGCTGCTGATACTGGTGGTGATGACGATGATGACGATGCTGATGAGATGATGGTGATGATGATGATGGTGGTGATGCTGATGATGATGATGCCTCAGTGGGTTCAGATGGTTGCGATCATGATGATGATGGTAACAATGATGCAATTGAATATTCATATGGTGGTTGTGGTGATGATGACGATGACGACGACGATGATGATGATGATGTTGTTGATTGTGATGGTGATGCCGATGATGATGACGATGATGATCATGATTATGATGATGATGCTGCTGATGATTATGCTGATGCTGATGGTGCTGATGCTGCTGATGATGATGATGCTGATGATGATGATGATGATGATGATGGTGGTGATGACGGTGATGATGATTATGCTTGCATCTGGTATCTTCTTAATGCTAGTTGGGGAGTTGGGAGGAGTAGGTAGGGACACAAGAGGTGTATTGTGAGTAGGTGCTGAATCTATGAGTGTAGGTACACGAGAGGTAGGTGGCGCGTTCATGAACGAGGCGAGGGGCCCAACACGAGCGGAACGACGTCGCAGGTAGTTCCTCCCTCCCTCCCTCATTCATCCCGCCTGCTCCCTGGTCCCCCTCCCAGCCAAACCAAGAGGACGTATTCTCCGATCCTTGGTCCAGGATGGGTTTGGCCAGGGTCGGTGTAGGCGTGTAGTTGGCGTCCTCTTGTCTCTAGACCTGCGACGTCACGTTTTACATTTTTTTTTCTCCGTGATCTGGCCTTCCTGTCCTGTCGACCGCTTCCCAAGGACCAGTTTTTCCGTCTCGGGTCGTTTCCTGACGGTCCCGGGGCCTCCAGAGGCCCAAACTAATGAAAACCCTGCCGTCTCGATTTCATTCGTGCTGTAAGATGTCTGGGTCCCTTCCCTTTCAGGATTGCCCGCGGTTCGGTCGGTTCGGCGGTGTTACGATTGGTTGTATTCGGTCGGTTCGGTCCAGTCAGCTTCGGTCGGTTCGGTCCAGTCAGCTGGGGCGTCGATGGCCGCTTCCAGTATATTCGATTCCGGTCAGTTTTGGCTTCGCTGTCGATTCGGTTGGGTTGTGCGTGCGCTGTCGGTCCATGGCCCGATTTGCCCTTCCTTCTCCCCTGCCGGGAGGTTCGCGCCCGCCATTGCCGGCGCAATGATCGGCGGCCTGATGCTGTTGCGGGGGCAGGGCAGGCTGGAGGGCGGGACGGACATTCCGTCGCTGCGGGCGTCCAATGCGCGGCCGCCCAAGGAGACCAGGGTGTGGGGATGGACCCAGATCGCGCGTTCCGCCCGTCCGGGAACCACCCGCCAGGGTCCGCCCGTTTGACCCGCCTTCTAGGGTCCGCCCGCCCGACCCCATCCGTTCGCTCGATTGATGGCCCCCCCTGCGCCGTGATCTTTCCAATCCTGGTGCTTTCCCGATTTCGGCCTCAGGGCCATCAACAGGCGGCCTGGAGCGAAGAGCTGGTCAAGGAGATTTGGGTCGTGAGCGCTAGAGGCCCAGGCCTCGAAATCGTGACATATGTAGGAGGTCTGGGGAGCGGAGGGCGGAGCAGCGACTCCACCACCAGCGGGCCACCCCCAGCGAGGAGGTCCACGGTGCTCTCCGAGCCGGAGACGGGAGGCGTCCCGAGCGGGACGGCGCAGAGCAGTGGGGTCACAGCCGCCAGGAAAACCTTCCCTGGTCCCTGGCCTTAGCTCTTGCAAGCGATTTTTTTGTTACAGCGTGAAGCGCCCCCCCCACCTTGAGCGTCCCGTGATCCCGCAAGTCAGGCGGGACCCCCGTGTGGAAGGAAACCGAACTGCATCCTCGGAGCTATAGGAAATCCGATCAGGTGGGGTCATACACTTCAAAGAAGTGTCCATCGACAGCCCTGCTTTGTGAAGGAACCGCCCTGCTTCCGCGCAGCTGTTGAATACTTTTGCAAATCATACTTCGAAGTTTCTGGTCATAACATAGTATGGAGTCTCTCGCGAGAGGCCCATGTTCAAAAGTAACCGCCCTCCCTCCGTGCAGATGTTGCATATCTTTACGCTTATGGCCATATTTTTGGAGGACATCCCAGGCGACATCCTCATTTTGGAAACGTACTGGCCCTCTATACCTGGAACTTTGCGAAACTTGTGGGGCGAATGAGCGTTTCGCTAAAGCCACATTTTGAACCCCCAGCCCTCCATTCGTGAACTTGTTGGAAGCTTGAGAGACGAATGTGCGCGGCGCTATGTCAGGAACCACATTTTGAAAACCACCAGCTCTTCCTCCATCCGTGTATCTGGTGGAATCTTGGAAAAACGAATGTGCGCGGCGCTAAGGTGAGAATGACGTTTTGAAACCGACCAGCCCTCCACCCAAAAGTCTCAAGCGACACGCTCGGCCTGGCCGACGGATGCGTCTGGTGGTGCGACAGGGAGGAGTTATTCCCCAATCAGAGCTTGCCTCTGTAGGGGTCCAAGCGGATTCATATGGTTAGGCGAGGTTCTTCGCTGATTTCGGTGGCCGGCGCGGGTGCCCGGGTGCCCAGGAGCTCGGGTGCCCAGGGGTGCCTGGGTGCCCAGGTGCCCGGGTGCCCAGGAGTGCCCGGGTGCCTGGGTGCCCGGGTGCCCAGGTGACTGGGTGCCCAGGTGCCCGGGTGCTTGGGTGCCCTATACCCCTATAGCCCTATAGCTTTATAGCCCTATAGCCCTACAGCCCTATAGCCCTGTAGCCATATTGCCCTGTAGCCCTATAGCTCTGATAGCCCTATAGCCCTATCCCTATAGCGCTACAGCCTTATAGCCATATAGCCTTATAGCCCTACAGCCCTATAGCCCTATAGCCCTATAGCCCTATAGCCCTATAGCCCTATAACCCTATAGCCTTATAGCCCTATAGCCCCATACCCCTCTAGCCCTATGGCCCTATAGCCCCATAGCCCCATAGCCCTATAGCCCTAAAAAGAATCGGATTGGGTTTTTCTCCGGTATCATTTATTATGAGGAGGGGTGCAGGACGATGAGGAAGAACAGGGTTTTCTGCTCCTCCTCCGCCTCCTTCTGTGTTGTCGTCGTCGTCCTCTTCAGGAGGAGGAGGAGGCGGAGGAGGATGATGATGGCGATGCTGAAGGGTGCCCCCTCACTGGGATGCCCTTTGGCGCTAGGCCAGAGTGGGGCGCCCCTTCTTGACGCCCGAGGGGGTCTGGAGAGGTTGCTCTATCAAGGGCAGCGCTAGGGGGGCAATTGGCTCAGCGGGGGAATTCTTCGACTCCCAATTGCCAACTCTTTGGGGACCTGGTAGCTCACCCCGCCCAAGAACGCGCGGTTTCGCTATCGGGGGCCTCCCGCCGATCTATCGGCAATGTGCCGCAGGTTCGATGTTCCCCCCCGACCCGGTCCCCACTAATTTTGTCCTTCGAGGGGTCGCCGATTCCCAAAGCGCAGCGCATCTGAGGGCACCCTCACTGGGCGGGGGTCTTGGGGGTGAGGGGCTGCATCGCGCGAAAAGGTTGATGGGTCAGTGGGGCGCCCCTCCAAGAGTGCCTTTGCCTCTCAGGAGGTGTGGAGGGCGCTTTGTGTCGAAAAGGCTGGTGCCTTGCAGGAGTCCCGCTGCCCGCTCAGAAGGCCGCCATCATCAGACCGTCCCCCCTTCCAGCGCCGCCAAAGCAGGAAGAAAGGGTGAAGGAGGACGGAATGAAGCGGGCGAAGGAAGGTGTAGCAGCGCTCAGCAGGGGGTGGGGCCCTCGAGGTGAGGTATGGGGAGTTCCTCTTCGCCCTCCCCCCCCCCCCTCCCCCCCTCCCCCCTCCCCCTCCCCTTTCCCCCCTCCCCCCCCTCCCCCCCTCCTCCTCCCCCCTCCTCCCCTCCTCCCTTTTGTCACCTCCTCCTGCCCTCCTCCCCTTGCCTTGTAGTTTAACAGCTCCGTGCCATGGTGGCCCCGCCAGCGCCAGGCCGGCGCCAGGTGCAGGGCTATCGGGCTTCGCGCCCCGTCAGTGCACAATGCCCGCCCCTCCCCCCCCGCCTGGGATCTATCAAGACAGGACAGCACAACAAATGTATCTCCTACCCCTCCTCCCCCTTCCTCCCCCCCTCCTAGTCGGGCCTGGCTGGAAGGAGTTTTCGCGCTTGTCCTTTTGGTGGCAGAGGCGCTCCCTCCTGCAGGCCGACGTCGATGTTGTGCACTCCCGGATTAAGCTCACCCTCTCTTGCTCGTGCTGCGGGGCGGTCAGCCCCGATGGTAAGCTCACTCAGGGGCTCCGTGATTTCTGCAGTGGGCGCCCTGGCGAGGGGGGAACCGAGCAGCTCAGGCGCATAAAGCTGGGCCAGTACCCCACTATAGGACGGGGGTACGTGAGCTGCGCTTCAGTCGCCCCCACGGCGTGCTCCTTGAGGCCCGAGGGGGCCTTCAGGGGGAGGCCGCCGCCCAGCCAGCTCCTCCGCCGCCGAGCCTGTCGCTGTCTACGTGGGGGGGGAAGAAGTCGTGTTCCGAGCGTTTGGCCCTACGGCCAATGATCGCCCACGTGTGCAGCTGCTGGGTCATCAAGCGATCCAACTTGCATCTGCAGGGTCGGACTCCGATCTTGGTGAGTCCGACCACGAGGGCTTCGAGTTAGCCCAGTTTTTGACCGCTTTTAGGACCAACCCGAGCCAAACCAAGCCCCTCTCTCCTCTTCCTCCTTCTCCATCCCTTGTCATTTTGAATAACTCCTCTCCGTCGCACCCCCAGCCGTGTCGGTAGGGCAAGTCGGGCGTTTCGCCTGATCCGCACCATCTACGATCCTGAAGTTCGAAATTTACAACAGCATCAAGGATGGAGGACGGGTGGTTTTCAAAACGGATCTCTCGACTTAGCGCCGCGTGCAATCGTTCAACATTGTGCAGCAGCTTCAAGGATGTAGTGCGGGTGGTTTTCAAAATGCGGCTCTCGCCTTCACGCCGGGTGCATGTATCAGTTTTTGCAGCAGTTTCGAGAACGGAGGCCGGGTGGTTTTTAGAATGTGGCTCCCGCGTTGGCCCGCGTGTATTCGTTTTTGAAGGTTTGCAGCAGCTTCATGGATGAATGGCGATTCCTTTTCAGACTGGCTCTTGCCTTAGCGCCGCGTGCCCTCGTTTTCGAGGTGTGCAGCAGTTTCATGGGCTCGTAGGGTTGAGAGGTCCCACGAATGCTGCTCTGGCACGATTCAGGATTGTCAGGGCGCAGCAGTCACGTTGATTCGCGGTGTTGAAGTCCCAGGAGTGGTGTTCTGCCGCGATTCAGGGTTGTCAGGGCACAGGGGTCACGTTTATATTCGCGGTATTGAAGTCCCAGGACTGGCGTTCTGGCGCGATTCAGAGTTGTCAGGGCACAGCGGTCGCGTTTATATTCGCGGCGTTGAAGTCCCAGGAATGGTGTTTGCCACGACAGGAATCTCAAACGGTTGTCTTTCAATGGGTTTCTCGCAACGAAAACAACTCTTGTATGGGGTCTGTGAAGAGGGAACTTAAAGGTGGGGGGTTATGGCAACATCGTTGCCGCGTCTTGGGTTTACACTGGTTTTCCTCTTCATCCTCCTCTTCCTCCCTCTTGCTCGCCGCCAGCGGCGGGGACGGAGGACTGGACGATGGCACCCACGCGAGCAATTGCGGCGGCCATCACGCTCGGCGGCGGCAATTCGCTAGGGCCCGAGGGGCCAAGCGTGGAGATAGGCGCCCCTCCCCCTCCTGCTTCTTGTCGTCGTGGTCGCGGTCGTCAGCGTGGCCGACGCGGCCGTGGACGTTGTCGCGGTCGTCGTCGTCGGCGGCGGCCGCAGCGACGACGACGACGGCGACTCTCGTCCTCTCTGCCCTGTCACCTCCCGCGGTTGTGGGCTGGGCTTCCCTTGAGTTCTTTACAGTCTTTTGTATGGTGTTTACTATTTTAGAGAAGGTGGGACTGTTCGGACGCAGTGAAGTTCGAAGGGGTAAAGCTTTGTAACTGGTGGGCGGGTGGTCATGATCGAGTTCCGCAGCGAGCCAGACCCACACTATACCACACGATTGATGTTATGCCACAGCCTTGGGCCTTTATGACCGCTGCGAATGCTTTACGGCTGGTGCCGCCGACCCTGCAGGCGGGACCTCCCTTGGGACCACCGCTGGCGACCCCCCCCGGGACCCCGCCAGGACCCCGAGGGGGCGGTATTCTGACCTGGGACCTTCCCGCGCCTCCGTTCCCGCCGCCGCCCCCCCACCGCTCCCCCAGCCGGGAAGGGACACAGGGAAGGGACTTCCCCTCGGTTTAGCCACAACGTTCCTTTTTCCTTGTTCCTCACTTTCCCTTGGGACTGTCGACGACGACGTCGACGGCGACGACGACAGCGTCTTCCACACGCCGGAGGGTCGGCGGATTACTCTCCCCTACGAACCCGACGGCGCTTGATCTTGCCTGGCCAGTTTCCCTGTGTGTCATAGGGTATTTTTTGTTTTTCGTCCAAACTCCCCCCTGTAGGAGGACATGCCCGACCTAAATGTACACCGAAGCAATGCGGTGGGCATTGCTTGATCAATGCTGTGCATCCCTGTGGAAGCACACTTGCGGGCCACATGCGCGCGCTCGCGCGCACGCAAGTCGACTTCATTCCCAAGCCAGTTGCTGTTTAAGCATTTCCTCCTCCTCGCTGCCCTCTTCCCCCTTCTCCACCTCGTCCTCCTCCCCCTCCTCCTCCTGCTCCTCCTCCTCCTCCTCCTCCTCCTCAAGGCCGAGCTCGTCAAACTCATATGGGGCTGCGTTTTTTCAATGGCCCTCTTTCAACGGTGTAAGATTGCTTGCGCGCTCACCAATGCTCGTCATTGCCGTTCTCAAGATGCGCGCATGCGTTCGTCAATATGGCGGTACTCGCAGTAGTAACTAGTCGCCTACCTGTTTCTCCTGCTGTCTTTCCTGTTCATCCTTCTCCTTTCCCTAGCTTTTCGTGCTCCTCCTGCTCCTCCTGCTGCTCGTCTCTTCCCCGTGCCCTCCTGAACTCCTCCTGCTCCTCCCTGTGCTGCTTTTTCTCTTCCCCATCTTCTTCCTCCTCCCCCCTTCTCCCTCCTCCTCCTCCTCCTCCTCCTCCTCCTCCTCCTCTTCCTCCTCCTCCTCCCTTCTTGTTGGCCAGGGGCAGGGGCAGGGTGCTGCAGGGGCAGGGACTGGGGGCATCTGGGACGGGCGGCCACGGGCAGGGGCTCGGGCTCAGGGGCTGGGTGGGAAGACGGCGTCTTGGTTGCCAGCGCTCCGGCTTCTTGGCGGTGATCCCTATGCCGATGCCGCACCGCCGATCCTTTGGGGGGCCTCTTGGGCCGCTTGGAATCCCTCTAGGAAGCGAGGACGCACGGACCCGATTCGGGTCGGACTCGAGAGGAGGCCAAGGGGCGCTTTGGAGCAGTTTGAGGAGCAGGTGACCCTTTGGGGTGGTCGGCGGCTGGGCAAGGGGACGCCTTGGTTGCCAGCGCTCCAGTTTCGTTGCCAGTGATTCTCCAACTGGAGTGCGGCGCAAGCCAGTCGCGGTTCGAGAAAGAGCGAACATGGAATAAGGCGCGTGGACTGGCGACGGGTCCCCTTTCTGTACAGAATCGGCGTGCTCCGTCGTCAAATCTGGCGGCGCTGGCCTGACGCTTTTGGTGGTACCTTGCCCAACCTGTGGATCTGGCGCCCACGCGCCAGATCCACGGATCCGTAATCCACTCTGCGTTCACCCGATTTTTTGCGATGATTCTGCATTTCGAGCCCGGCGCAAGCCAATCGCGATGTTGCAGCGCTGCGGTAAGACCACTCGCCGAGGATTCATCGTATCATAACATGTCGTGTGCGGTGCAGTTCCGCTGCCACGTCGCAGGGCCCTTGCACTCCGATGTAACTCATCGCCCCTTGTGCTCTCCTGACCTCCCTGGCCGCGCTCGAAATATCCCATGTTATTTCCATACAAGCGGTCCGTGTCCATTCTAAGATTTCAGGCGCCCATGAATCGAAAGCTGGGCCCGGTTCAGTTGATCATGTTCCAGTCGTTCGTCACCGGTTCGTCAAGCCTGCCAGCGCTAACGCGCACTGCACGTGGGTCTGGAGTCTGAGCACGCGTGGGGGTCGTTCCCTGGGGTTTCGAGTATCGCTACTGCCGCCACCATTTGTGTCTCCGTCCGTGTGTGCGTTTGCGCCCGCAGAGGTGCCAACGTGGCAGTCGTCCTCAGCGAGGCATCCCTGGGCCGCGGCGGTCGCAGCGCCGAGGGGGACGACAGGACCCCGCACCCGCCCACTCTTCAGTACGTCGAGGGGGGATAGGGCAGGTTCACGTCGTGCCGACTTCGGCGTTGGCTTCTGACACGGCGGGGATCGTTCAACCTTGAACGATCGTTCAGATCCTTCAGCATCGACCGATTTTGGGTCGCCGGCGGCGTTTGACACGACGCGGACCTGCCGTAGCGGGGGGGAGGCAGGGGCGGCGGCGGGGCTGGGAGCACGGTAGGCGTTCCAGCCACCCAGGCCCCCGCCCAAGGGAGCCCCATGGCCCCCGTGGCATCCAGAAATCGGGTTGACCCAAAAGGGGGTCCAGCGACAAGGGGGTGGTGCAGTAGATTTGGTGCAGTACATTTGGGGCGTGCGATACATTTGGGGCGTGCAATACATTCCGGGGCGCAGATGTATTGCTGGATTTTCGCGTGCAATACATTGCTTGCAATACGACGCGATATAATTCTCCTGCGCAATACACCTGCGATCCGACTGCCCGAAATCTGTTGCACCACCCCCTTTCAGCTGGACTCCCTTTTGGGTCACCCAAAAGAGAGGCTGCACAGGACTGGTGGCTGGCAGGTGGGGCTGGTTGGCGGCGCGCAGAGGGGGATAGGGGGAGGGGGGAGGGCTTCTTAGAAGCACCCCTGCTTCTTAGAAGGCGCGGGCCTTGTCTGTAAACGTAAGGCCCGCGGCTTCTAAGAAGCAGCCTCCTTCTAAGAAGCCTTCCCCCCTCCCCCTACCCCCTCTGCGCAACGCCAAATCCAGAAAGGCTGCACATGACTGGTGGCTGGCAGGTGGTGCTGGGGCCCTCTCGGGGGAGGTCGGTGTCTGCTCGGGAGGGCCACGCGCCCCACGCCCTCCGAGCGGCGGGAGGCCTGCTCGGAGGGCCGCCCCCTCTTCGCCCTGCCGCCCCTGGTGGGGTTTTCCGAGGGCCTACCCCTCCATGAAATTGCCGACGGTAATGCCGATGATGATGGTACTGATGATGACGATGATGATGATGATGATGATGATGATGATGATTATGATGATGATGATTCTGATGATGATGATGCTGCTGATGATGACGATGATGATGATTACGATGCTGATGCTGATGATGATGCTGCTGATGATGCTGATGATGATGCTGCTGCTGATGATGATGATGGTGGTGATGATGCTGCTGATGATGATGATGATGATGAGGGGGAGCAGGAGGATGATGGTGGTGGTGATGATGATGGTGATGATGATACTGCTGCTGCCGATGATGATGATGATGATGATGATGATGATGATGATGATGATGATGAAGATGATGATGATGATGATGATGAAGATGCTGTTGCTGCTGTTGCTGTTGCTGACGATGACGATGATGATGCTGCTGCTGATGATGATGCTGACGCTGATGATGATGATGATGATGATGATGGTGGTGATGATGATGATGGTACTGATGATGCTTACGACGATGACGACGACGATGATGTTGATTATGATGCTGCCGCTGATGATGATGATGATGATGATGATGATGATGATGATGAAGATGATGATGCTGATTACGATGCTGTTGCTGCTGCTGCTGTTGCTGCTGTTGCTGACGATGACGATGATGATGCTGCTGCTGATGATGATGATGCTGACGCTGATGATGATGATGATGGTGGTGATGATGATGATGATGGTACTGATGATGCTTACGACGATGACGACGACGATGATGTTGATTATGATGCTGCCGCTGATGATGATGATGATGATGATGATGATGATGATGATGCTGATGCTGATGCTGATGCTGATGTTGATGATGACGATCATGCTGATGCTGCTGATGATTATGATTACGATGCTGTTGCTGCTGCTGCTGCTGTTGCTACTGCTGCTGGCGATGACGATACTGATGCTGCTGATGATGATGCTGATGACGCTGATGATGCTGCTGATGATGATTGTGATGATCGTGATGGTACTGATGATGCTTACGACGACGACGACGATGATGGTGATGATGGTGATGATGATGGCGGTGGTGGTGGTGGTGGTGGTGATGCTGCTGCTGATGATGACGAGGAGGAGGAGGAGGAGGAGGAGGAGATGGAGGAGGAGTTGGAGAGGGAGGAGGAGGAGGAGGAGGAGGAGGAGGAGGAGGAGGAGGAGGAGGAGGAGGAGGAGGAGGAAGAGGAGGAGGAGGAGGAGGAGGAGGAGGAGGAGGAGGAGGAGGAGGAGGAGGAGGAGAGGGATTCTGCTGATGATGATGCTTATGGTGATGCTGGCGATGTAGGCCAATGTGCTGGAGGTGGTGATGAGGACGACGAGGAGTCGGAGTCGGAGTCGGAGGAGGAGGCCAGCGATGACACACACGAGGCAGTGGAAGAATGCGAGGGCGATGGGGATGATGATGCTGATGATGATGATGATGATGATGATGCTGATGATGATGATGGGGAGGAAGATGATGATGGTGGTGGTGGTGGTGATGATGATGATGATGAAGAGGAGGATGAGGAATATATGGATGAGGAGGAGGCTGTGTAACTGGGCATGATCATGAGCACGAAGATGGTGTGAATGCGGAGGGGAAACAGGATGAGGGCAGGGAGGAATACGATGAGAGGGGAGGAGGAGGAGGAGGAGGAGGAGGAGGAGGAGGAGGAGGAGGAGGAGGAGGAGGAGGAGGAGGAGGATAAGGAGGAGGAGGAGGAGGAGGAGGAGGAGGAGGAGGAGGAAGAGGCCCATCAGGATTGTAACGCCGGGGGTTGGTACCGCCGCTTGCTGCAGCAGCAAGGCAATAATTTTGATGCTGGCTCCTGATGGGGTTAAGCTGTGTCGGTCGGCACTGATTAGCGATTATCTGCCGAGTGACGTTGTAGACTGTGGCACCCGCATGTGTGTGCACTCACGTGCTCTTCTTCTCTTTTGCATTCTGAGTCTGGAGAACTATGAGGGGGTACCGCAGAGAGACATATGTGTCAGAAAGATCTGGCCCTTTCTCCCTCCTCCTTCTGCCTCCCTCCTCTCTCCCTCCCATCCTTCCTCCCTCCCTCCTTCCCATCTCTGTTCCCGATTCCCTCCCTCCTCCCTCCTTCCTCCTCCCTGCTCCCTTCGAACATGTACTGCGAAGGCCTGACGGTCAGTGCCGCTGACCCTGGAGGAGGAGGAGGAGGACGACGACGATGCAGACGCTTCCATCAGGAGGGAGGGGTGCTGCCCCCTTGGGGGGGGGGAAGGGGGCCACAATCTCGGGGATCCCCCCGCCCCTCCTGCACCCTGCCTCCCACCGCCCAGGGAGGGGGGGTACAGCCCCCAGGACCGCTCCCCCTGACGTGGGAGGGATCAAGGGGAAGGGTCTTCCTTTCGACTCGATTACTACGTACGGCGCTCGATTTCTCTCTGGCTGGAACGCTTGAGGGGGAACCTGAGGAACTTCAATAATCAATAATTTTGGCCTCTTCGGGCCTTCCTGGAGGCCCTCTTGGGGGCCCCTTGGGCCGTCTTGGAGGCCTCTTGGGCCGTCTGCCATCATCTTGAGGCCATCTTGGGCCGGCTGGGAGGCGTCTTGGGCGGACCTGGAGACATCTTGGACCTTCTCAGGCCATCTTGGAGGCCATGTTGGACCATTTTGGGCGATTTTGGAGGCCATCTTGAGCCATGTGAGCCGTCTTGGATGCCGTCTTGGAGGCGATCGGGATTTTTTTTGTCGAATTGTTACCTAACAGCGTAGACTGATAGGTTTCTAGTTGACTCAAAAGAGCTCACAGATCACTCCACAGGGGGGTCCGGGCAGGCGTTGGGAGTTGCCGGGCGGCAGGGGGCCCCGCTCGTTTTTCACCAACAGTCACACACTTCGTGCTCTTCGACTTCCCAGAACTCCATTCCCAGGCCACATTCTGGAGGGCCGGATGCAACAGTCACACACTTCGTGCTCTTCGAGATCCCAGAACGCCATTCCCGGGCCACCTTTAGAATAACCGGATGCAACAGTCACACACTTCGTGCTCTTCGAGTTCCCAGAACGCCATTCCCGGGCCACATTTAGAATAACCGGATGCAACAGTCACACACTTCGTGCTCTTCGAGTTCCCAGAACGCCATTCCCGGGCCACATTTAGAATAACCGGATGCAACAGTCACACACTTCGTGCTCTTCGAGATCCCAGAACGCCATTCCCGGGCCACATTTAGAATAACCGGATGCAACAGTCACACACTTCGTGCTCTTCGAGTTCCCAGAACGCCATTCCCGGGCCACATTCGGAATAGCCGGACGCAACAGTCATACAATTCCTCGTACTTGACACCCCAGAACCTCATTCCCAGGCCACATTCGGAATAACAGGATGCAAGAGTCACACACTTCGTGCTCCGAGACCTCCCAGAACGCCGGGTTATCTTGCTGTCTGGAACGGCAATCCCGGGATACACTCAGAGTAATCCCACGCGACAGTCACACATTTTGTGCTCTGTGACCTCTCAGAACTTCATATCTGGGCGACACTCCTGGGCAACACTCGTTCTCTCACTATCATGCAACACTCATACACAGTGTCCTTGTCGACTTGTCACATCTCAACTTTCAATTCCTTGACACAACCGTCACACACACTGATTTCTCTGAGTTTTCACTTGGTTAGTCTCGGGTCACATTTTATATTCCTTCCGCGACAGCCGTGCTTGGTTCAGGAGTTGCTAGTGACACTGCAGTCCATTTTACTCAACGTGCCTCGTCACTAGAGTTTCGATTGCAATGGCGTTCCCCTGCCGTACCGCTATATGGAACGTTCATCCGCAGCCTCTGCTCCGCGAGGCTCGTCCGGGGTGTCGCCGCCTCGCGGTGCTTCTCAGCCTGCGGAGGAGGGTCGACAGACGCCTGGTCCTGGCGCTCTGCAGCCTGCGTCTTTCACGGTCGCCTCCTTCAATTTCGGGTTCGAGCAGGGCATGATGACTGGTAAGCAGGCGGCCACTCACTGCGCTAACTTCGGAAGGGTGTGCGCCACGATAGTGGAGACCGCTGATG